CGGCTTGAAAGTCTTGCGTAGTAAATTTATGTGTTTATATAATTCCAAATTTATGCGGTTGAAATGTGCAAACGTTTTCGTTCTCTGGCAGAAAATTACAATGCAATCCGCTCAATGAGTTGGAATCCAATTTTTGAAAGGCGGAGTAAAATATTATATGATTTCTCCTTTTTACTGAACTTTTCTCATATTATGCTTCTTTAGTTTTAAAAGAGAGGCCAAAATAAATTGAATGCCAAACTTGGATTTCGTTCAAGTTTCACGTCATTATACTGTATCAAATATTCGTGGTGATGGTACTATATTCTCGAAGAAAAATATTCCCTGACTCTTCGAAGAAATATTTTAAAAACTATCGGAAAGGGCTTAAATGAAATGACTCCATTCGGATAATATTATGTTTGCATAATATTATATTATGTTATAATATTATATTATATATTATGTTTGCATGAAACGTATTGTCCTTGATGATCTCACGATCCTTCATTCATTTCAATCAAAATTAAATTACTGTGACGCTATTTTCCAAAGTTTTCCAAAAACATTTCCTTCCACGAGAATTGCATTTTTAAAGCCGAATGACACTTTCCACTCTGCCGCATGAAAATCCCCCGGAAAGTTTTTCCGCGGCCTCCTTGACGTAATTCATTTTTCTTCATATTCCCGCGAGAAGTTTCGCAGAAAGCGTTCTGAAATCCAATTACAAAAACCGACCCCGGGAATGATTCATCATTAGAAGTTTGCAGAACCCCGAGAGAGAGGGAGAGTAAGAACGAAAGCGCGTAACATTTTATTTGCGTCCAACAAATATTGACCTTTTACGCGCGTTTCCGGAGTTTTTTTTATTTTCCACCCTCTTTTCGTCGTTGTGAACCACTTCGAAGAGCCATTCCTCGTATATATCTACGTATGTGAAGGACGTTCTCTTAACTTCGTTCCTTCGACGGAAGATACAATTTTTGCTAGAAAATACGAGCGCTTTTTTTTCTGTGCTCTTCCAAGCGGAAGAAAAGGCCTATACTTCAGAAAGCGAGAATATAAGGACTCGGGATGGAAATGATCGAACCTGCGTGATATAAGGGAATATGTGTCGTCGAGCTTCCTTGAAAGCATGAAGGAACAGCAGTTCAAATACTGCCGTATATATAATGGAATTATACGGTATATAATGTCCCATATTTACGCAACTATGAGACGAAATCGATTGTATGTTCTCCGAGTTTTCAGCTCCTCAAACAGAAAAAAAGTTTCTTGACACGAATCTAAGATGCNTGCTGAAGGGGGGATAAAAAGGGAACGATTTTGCAATAAACCTTTTTCTTCACATAGAAAATACCTGAGAAACAGCGTCGAATAAATCTTATGCAGACTTTTAAATCATCAAGCAATCGAATGACTACGATGTTGGTTTAGAAAAACATTTTCAAAGAAAAATGTTGCGATATTCTTCTTCGAACTTGCACTGGAAGGAACAACTCCCTGCACTTGGTTCAAATCATGTTCCAAAATCATTAAAAAAAACATTGAAGATTCAACTAGCTAATATGAGAAATCAATCCTTCGAATCGGTTCTCATCGTTGAACACCCGAAATAAACTAAAATGTTGCGTGTGGATCCACGATGTCGTCACTTCAGACTCGTGTATTGCTTATTTTTTAAAGCCAAAATCTAGTGCTTGTCTATTGGTGTAAAAACGTTAAAATATTTAAAACAAATTTAATTTTTTCGGTGCAATTTTTTGCGGATTTTTCGTCGCGTTCAGACTGCGCAAATGTTCGAAAGGGTTGTTGTATTCGCATTATCAAAGCGTTGTTTATTTGCGAATGCATCGCAGAATTTTTTAATTTTGCGTTTTCATATTTTTTCATTCTGTTTGGATTAAACCACATATTCTGGGAAGCGGGAGTTCTTTGAAAAAAAAATCTTTATACACACTATAAAATCAATTTTTCGTAAGCGTTATTTATTATAAGATTCGCGTCATTTTTTCGTCGTCGCCAATTTTATCCTCAGCTGCGCGAGAATGAAGTCCTTTCAACCGCGGGAAGCACAATATTGATGCAGGATGAAAAAGTTTTTTTTCTTTTCTCGGAGGGCATATGAAAAATTTCTCGTGTACAGTATTTGTTTGTCGAGAGTTCATCTGCTCAAATCTGGAAAGAACTCGCCTTGAAACCCATCAAGCGACGAAAGCAAAATGTACTTCCCACTGTATGATGCCGAAACAAAAGAGGATACGAAAGCTTCGAGATAAATTTAAGATTCGGGATTTCGGGACGGTTTTATGGTCGGAAGGATTTACAATTTTCCATCCGAAACAAACGGACTGCTTTCGAAAGATCCACGAACAGTTTCTAGATTCCCGTTGGAATGGAAAAGTCTCCTGGAATATATTGCGAAGAAAACTTTTTTTTCCTGGTAAATGCAATACACATTGAAGAACAGTCGCTCTTGGGCATGCAGAAGACAAAACCTAAGATCAAATATGGTCTTTCATACCGGCAGATTTCAAGGAAAAGCATTTTACAGATATAGTTCAGAATCTTCAGATATTTATTTTGTTTCGAAGTAGGACTTTTAGTTGGAGAACATTTACCCAAATTCCTTTTGAAGATTCATTCGATTTTTACGTTTGAGAGCTGACAGAAGCGTTCGAATTTGTTTAACGTATTTTTGAAAATGTTAGAATAATTTGGAAAATTAATTTTGTTTCATTCCCATATATACAGTATACTAGAATATGCTTCATTAAATGTCAATGTTTATCAGACAAAGCTATATATTTCTATTTTTAATGGAAGCAAAAAGTTGCATTTAAAAGTTTTCAAATTTTTGGAAAGAGAAATCTTGTGAATTCTCATATCTACTACATTACTGCCTTAAAAGTCATCGATCATCAGACGCAGCCACGGCATTGTATATTTTGCGCTTCAATAATTGGGACAAGTTTGCATGCGAATATAAGAGGCACTCTCTTTCCATATAAAGTATTCAGGATCAGAATATTGCATTGATTTTTACAATTTTTCAAACGTTAGACGAAGTGCCTCAAATATGTCTGATAGAAGTTACATTTACGAGTAAAACTTGTTGGATTTTAAACTTTAAATGGTGTAAGGATTAATTGCATTTGAATTTGAACTGAACGTAAATTTATCTTTCAAAGATTTTGTTGAACAGAAGGAATCATATGCATGTCACCTTCGATTATGATGGGACAACTCTTAAAATTTAAGGCATTGCCGAATGTAAGAAGACTCTCTGATTTTTCAGAGGATTTTTTTTCCAAATGGTATTCATAAATTCAAGGTAATTCGGCAATTGTGGATTAATTTTTCCAACAGCGCACGAAATCCAGACATTAATTCGTTTTATTTTTATTTTGGCAGTCACGCTTTGTTATGCACTTCCTTGGTTGGACGCTGGAACTGCTGATTTGGTTTTTTTTTTTTAATAAATATTCTGTTTTTTCGAATCATTCCATATCAGGAGTTGGCGTCGGGGAATCCGGAGCAGAGGAACTGGAAGGGCATCTTCATTTCCGTGTTCGTGATCGCCGCCTTTTGCGGCTTGATCCTGTTGGCCGTTATGCTGGTGTCGCCCGACACGTTCAAAGACGGCGACACGACACGTGCCATCCCGCTCGACGACCTTCTGTCGACTCGCCAGTTTCACCCGCGACGCTTCAACGGCACTTGGATCTCAGGTGAGTGTGTCGATCCCAAGCACTTGCGAGCGACTCAAATCACGTGCTGCA